GAAGAATAATGCGGGCATTATTTGAGCATGGGGGCTCCTGGGGGACGGGGGGCCTCGAGCAGGACAGGGCGCTCTGCGAGGAGCTTGTGGCCCGGGGCGCGGGCCCCGACACCCTGTTCAGTCTCCAGCGCGGAGACGAGCAGGTTAACTTTTTCCTCGATCTTGAGGATTGTTTTTTGCGGGATGGCTGGCGTGGCCCCCCAGAGCGTCCCTCGGCGAGGGGCGGGGGTGCAGCTGAAGAACCTTTCCTCGGATCAGAAAAAGCTGTTTGAGGCCTCTGACGCGAAGGAACGGGCCGCCGTGACGGCCTCGGGGGCGGCCCGAGTCCTGACAGTTGAAGAGTCGCGTCTGGTCCGGCGGCGTCGCCCCGACAGAATTCCCCCTTCGAGGATGGTGAGACGTTTTAAGCCTAGCGAGGGGGTTGGGGGCGGCCCGAGTGGCCAAGAGAAGATGGTGCTTCCATGGCCATCAGGACCCGGACGGCGAAACGTTGCAAGCGCATGCTCCGACTCCACAGTCGGAGAGCATATGCTCAGTCTCCAGCTGGTGGTTTCGATGGGGTGGGCCCTGGGGGTCGCGGGTGCCAAGAATGCGTTCTGCCAAAGCAATCGGTTGCAACGGCCCCGGGGCGCCATCTTCGTGGAGGCCTGCGCGGGCCTGGGTTTGTCCGGGGAACAGCTCATCGAGCTGGTGGCGCCGGCTTACGGACTGAACGACGCCCCATTGCTGTGGCGCAGAACGCTCACCGATTTCTTGACATAATTGAATTTCAAGCGATCGCTCGTTGAGCCATGCCTGCGGCTGCAGCGTTCCGAGAGCGGCCGACTTCAGTCTCTGATTTTGATCGAGGTCGATGACTTCATCGTGGCCAGCGATCCTAAGGTGCTTCCAGATTTGAAGAAGCGTCTCACGGAGAGATTCAAATTCGGTAAGTGGGGGGAAGGCAAGGCTGATTTCGCAGGCAGGCAGGTGCGTCAGGTGGCGGGGGGGAAGATCTTGGTCGACCAAGAGAGAACGTTCGCGAGCAGTTGTGTCCAATAGCTCTGGACAAGCAGCGCCGAGCTCAGACCCCCCCCCCCCTCTCACCCCCTCGGAGATCTCGCCCTACCGGACAACGGTCGCTCAGATGCGATACAATGGCTTGGGAGGGAATCGAGACCAGGTGGCGGGCAGCGCGTCCTTGTTAGCTTCGGCTCCCCCCGGACCAAAGGCGGAAGATGCGCAGATGGCATATAAGGCGGCGAAGTTCCTCAGAGCGTCGGCCTTTCAGTATATCGCGATATGGCCTCTCGATCCGGTCTCGACTACCTTTGTGACTGCCTCCGACGCGGGGGGCCCAGGGTCTGCTCGGCGTGGAGGCGCCCAGAGCGGATGGCTCATTTTTGCTGCAGACAGCTCGGTCAGAGAGAATCGACGAGCCAGAGTGAGTATTTTGTCATGGCGCTCCCAGAGTCTGAAGCGGGCGGGCGCCGGGACGATCGCGGCCAGACCCTGTTTCTGTCGAGTGCGGCTGCTGAGGCCCAGTGGCTCCAGATCATGTGGCGAGACGCGCTGTATGGCGACGTGAAGTCGCCCGATTGGACGGAGTCTCAGGGCCCTTTTTTCTGTCGTGCTCCCTCGCGAGTGCGAGCTCGCCGATGCATCGGCCTTGAACATCGTCGACGCCAAGAGCGCGTTCGACACTCTCTCTCTCGAGAAATAGTGCGGGGTCCCGGGCCGACAGGAGGAACGCGATTGAACTGGCTGTGATCAGGGGCGCGTTGAATTGTTTGGGGTCTCAAGTGCGCTGGCTTCCACGCGGGTTGATGCCGGCAGATCCCCTCGCGAAGATCGATCCCGCTCGGGGAAACGCCGCTTTGCATGACGTGCTCACTCGCGGTACCCTGGGTTAGTAGATGAGTCTGGACAATACGATGAAAGATAACGCAATGCGGCTCTCAAGAGACGCTCCCGGGGGGCCTCGCGGAGAATGTTGGGAGAGAGAGAGAGAGAGAGAGAGAGAGAGAGAGAGAGCTAAGGCGTTCGACCCTGGGCACGCCGAGGTGAAGGACGAGGAGGAGGAAGAAGAGAAGGAGGAGGAGGAGCAGAGAGGAGGACGAGGAGAAGAAGAGGAGGAGGCAGGGGAAGCCCCAGCCGACTTAATCCTGGACGGCGACGGGTTCAGGTCCACGAAAGTTTGGCCCGCTGTTCCTGGATACCCCCAAAGCCCCTTCAGCGTTTCCCCCTCTTTGTCCCTTCTCCCGAGCCGTGTTGGCTTAGGCGCCTGAGTGAGCTTGAACTGTTCATCCACCCGAGGAGAAAGGAGCCCCTCCTCACCCAACTACGACACCCACGATCCCATATGTATCAGTAGTGTGAGACATAGGGGGGGATGGGCATAGGGAGGGACGCATCGACCCCCAATCGCCCATTGATCGCCGTAGTGGGCCCGATAGCCCCAACCTGCACAGGAGGGTGCGGATTCACTATCGGGATCTATCGCCGACTTATCGGCGATGTATCGCCGACTTCAGGTCGATGCATCCCCCCCTTATGCCAGTCCCCCCCTATCGTTGCCCCTCGTTATTCTGGAGACGTCGTCCTCACCTTCGTCGCCTTCATCATCGCTGCAACGCGTTTGGCGGACTGCTTCGTGGTTCTCGCCTGCCTCGTCCCTTCCTCGTCCTCTGTCCCGCCTCCATCCTCCCCTTCCCTGCACGCATTTGGTGTGTCTCTAATCGCTTCCAGGACGCATTCCTGGTTTTTTACACACGTTTGGCGTGTCTGCCCACCCGTCCTCGCGGACGCACGGGCTAAGTGGTGGTGGTGGGCCCCCTTCTGAGGGTTTTCAGAGGCTTCGATGCCGAACATGGCTGTCCAGTATGTGTTTCTTGCAAGGCTAAGGGAATGCAGTCCGCCTCTCCTTCCCTTATCGGGTCGCTTGAAAGTGGGCGACTTCGCCCTCCCCGTCATTCGTTCTGCGTTCCTACCAACGGTTGCTCGCGCCTGAGGTCAGTTGGATGCGGCGCTTGCTCGGTTTAGGGGAAGGAGAGGGAGGAGGAGGAGGAGGAGGAGGAGGAGGAGGAGGAGGAGGAGGAGGAGGAGGAGGAGGAGGAGGAGGGGGAGGAGGAGGAGGAGGAGGAGGGCAAGGGCCTCCTCTCTCTCTGATTTGTCTCTGACTGGTTTTCCTGTGATTGAAGGGTTTCGACAGTTTCCGAGCGCACGACCGCTCCGCCTACGCTCTCTGTCTCGCCGAAACCGTTGTGGCTTAAAGCTCTGATCGTGGGGCCCCGGGAGTGCATGGGCCTCCCGTGGCTCGCGGCCGGGCCCTGGGCTGCCTCGGTGGCAACCGCCTGGCTGACGCAGTGCCCGGCGTGCCCGGAGGCGCACGTCACCTGCGGCAGCTGCCCGACGTCCTCCGCCGCCGGCGGTCAGTTGCGGGACGTGCCCGAGCTGCCCGACGTGCAGCCTGAGCTGCGGCAGCGGGCCGGGCTGGTGGGCCGTGGGCGGTGCCCTAGCCGCGGGCCTCCTGCTGGGCGGAGGCGGCCGCGCGGTGTTCGACGCGGTGTCCTGGGTCGTGGAGCTCCTCGTGGGTCTGGCGACGCCTCGTTCTGGGCAGGGCGAGGACTCCCTCGTGAACGACGACGGGCTGCCGGCCACGCTGGCAGGGCGGCGCGGGTTTCGCGCCGTGCGCGCCTGAGCGACCGAGTCTGGATGGCGGGTCTTCGTGCTCTCGACGGGCCGGAGTCTCACAGGAGGGTGTCAACTTCGACGACGACGGCGGATTCAGACGGCACCATCGGCTGCCGCCAGTGGGGCTCAGTCCAGGTGCTTGGGTCGCAGCCAGCCCAGACGGGGAGGTGTTCTTCCTGGACTCGAGCGGGCGCTCGGTCGTGGCCTTCCTCCGCGACTCGGCCTTCCCGGAGAGGGTGCGCGGGCAGGAGAACGCGCTCGGGGGGACGGACCCGGACGGCCTCGAGGCGCTCCGCGTCGGGGCGGGCGTGACCATGCCGACAGCGGCGCCTGGCGCTCTGTTGGCGCGCTGGGTCGGCCCGGACCCTGGGTCGCCGACCTTCGGCATGAAGCTGGACGTCGACGCCGCCGGAAACCTGGAGAGGCTGATCTTCAGGGATGCAGTCAGCGCTGCTCGGCGCAGTGTAGGGGAGGGCTGGGGCTCGGTCGAGAACGTCCAGGAGCGCGACGAGGAGGCCTGGCGCGTCGTGAAGCGCCGTGGCCCGGGGCGAGATCCCAGGATCTCGTCGCTGTCGAGGCGCCCCCCTGGCCAGCCCGTGATGCTCGCAAAGGCCCTGGCGGTGATGAGCGCGATCGTGATCGACGACTGGCCCTTCCGAGGGCCGCGCGCCTTGGCCAAGCTGCTCAGCGCCGTGCTCGCCTCGGGGCTCACCCTCGCCTCGTACGGGGGCTTCCGGGTGTCGGAGTCCGGGGTCTCGAAGAACGCGGCGGTGGCCATGGACGTGCTGCACCTGGTGATCGATGCGTTCGTCGCCGAGGAGCAGAAGGCACAGGGCGTGATCATGAAGCAGAAGACGCTGTTCGGGGAGGAGCAGCAGTCGGAACCGAGGAAGTTCGAAAGGGCCGACGACGACAGGCCGCCGAAGAAGCCGACGCCCAACGAGGAGGCGGAGGCGAAGGCGGGTCCCAAGGATCAGGGTTGACGGCGCCGAGGAGGCGCCGATGTGGCTGGGCTCGCCGCCTGGCCTTCCGCCGCCCACCCCTGGCGGCGCGACTGCCGACGTGCGCCGGGGGTGGCATCCCTCCGAGGGGGTCTCCTCCGAGGGCAGGACTTCGCCCGCTGTTTTGTTTCCTCTGCCTCGGGGTGATGACTTTTATCGCCGCGCCCGTCGTGGAGAACGTGCCGCTCTGCCTCGGTACTTGGCCCAGCGTGCTGCTCGTGCTGATGGCCGCGACCGTCGTTCTCTCGAGGCGATGGGGGCGCTCAACGGGTTGGCGGCCGCTCGGGCTGGAGGGCGCCTCGAGCCTCGTGCGCCTGGCAAGCAGAGGCCGACTACCGCGCAGGAGTCGGTCATAAAGCGAGTCCGACGTCGCGTCCGCAGCTTCGGGGGCCGCCCGAAGGACATGGACTCAGCTGGAGCCCTTCAGGAGCTCCTCAAGTGCAGGGACCTGTACTCGGCCATGGGCGAGGGCTCTACGCGCCGTGATTATGACGCCGGTAAGCTCAACGTGCTGCGGCGTCCCGTCAGCGACCAGCCGCGGCAGCTTCGCGGAGTGGCGCCTCGCCACGTTTCCGAGGTCCTCGACAACTTCAACGTGGACGTGGTGCGGCCAGCAGCTAGCATCCCCGACGACGAGGAGATCGTGGAGCCGTACTGGGACCCGCTGCTCAACCCTCGTGACCCTCGGAACCGCCCGAGGCTCGTGGACTTCTTGCGGCGCCTGACAGAGCGGGGACTGGTCGACGGCCGCCGAAGACGAAAGGCTTGCGTCAGTACGTTCTTCGTGGCCAAGAAGAATGGCGACATCCGCATGGTGGTGGACGCTCGCCAGCCGAACCAGCTCCACAAGTTGCCGCCTCGGACGGCGCTCGCTTCGGGCGAGGCACTGGGTTCGATCAACTTGCTGGACGCCATCGACGCCTCGCCGGAGGACTTGGCCGACTTTGACGGCTGCTTCGAGTCGCTCTGTGCGGGTTCGGTGGACTTCATGGATGGCTTCTACCAGTTTGCCGACCCCGCCTGGGGCAGTTGGATGTGTTTCGATATCGAGGTCACTGCCGGCGAGCTGGGGGTGGACTCTGTCTTCGACGACCGGCTGGGCCGCAGGGTGGGCGTCTCCCCCGACGAGGTCATCTGGCCGTGCTATGCCGCGCTGCCGATGGGCTGGAGCTGGGCGCTCTGGATCTGCCACGAGGTGCTGGTCGACGCGATGGACGCGGCCGGGCTCCCCGGCGATGGCTGGTGTCTTGACAAGGCCAAGGCCCCGACGCTTGTCGGTCGCTTGGTCGTCAGGGCCCCATACGTCGACAACGGGAACCTGGTCTCGCTCAGCGCGCCGGCTCTCGACGACCGCCTGGACAGGCTCACGGCCGAGCTGGATAGGCGGGGCCTGCGCTGGCACGAGCTGGAGAGAGCCCAGCCTGGGCTCGTCGTCCTCGGGATGGTGCTGGATGGGCGCGAGGGGCGCCTCCGGCACACGCCGAAGCGGGCCTGGCGGCTTTACTTGGCGCTGCACCACGTACTTCGACGCCCCTGGCTGGCGCGCTGGCAGCTTCGGCGGATCGTGGGCCACATCGTGCACTACTTCTCAGTGCTGCGACCTGGCCTCAGTGTCCTGGGCGCCAGCTACGCGTGCATCTCCAGCGGCGACTTGGCCGAAGTGGCGCGCTTGCCCCCCGACGTGCTGGGCGAGCTGGCGACTACTGCTGGCCTGGTCTTCCTGGGCGAAGTCGACATGTGCAGGGTGCCGTCGGACGTCGCCTTCACCACCGACAGCTCAATGCAGGGCTACGCCGCGTGTGAAGCTCGCCTGGGGCCGTGGGGGATCCTGGCTACCACTCGATGGCGGGAACGCCAGCGCTTCGTACCTTCGGAGGTGGAGATCGCGCCCGACACGGATGCGCATGAAGGGCGCGTGGCGGGGCTGCTCGACGCCTCCGAGCCGCTGCCTCTGGAGGCCCCGCCAAGGCTCAGACACGCCGTCGCTCGGCGGCGCCGAGTCGAGCTTGAGATCGGGGTGCCGCCCGAGCCCTTGGCGGAGGCGCTGCTGGATCCCGCGCGTTGGACGGAGCGGCGCCGTGGTGCGTGGCGCTGTCCAGGGCGAACTCACGCCTTGGAGGCGCGGGCCGCAGTCGCTCCCCTATGGCGGGCGGCAGGCGATGTTCGGTTCCACGGCACCGAGATCCTCAGCTTGTGTGACAACATGTCGTCGGTCCTCGCCTTTGAGAAGGGCAGGGCCACCAATTTTGAGCTGCTGGCGCAGTGTCGCCGCGCTGCTGCAGTGTGCCTGGGCTGCGAGATCCGCTGGCGCCCAAGGCATGCCCCGGGCATCCAGAACGTCGCGGACCACGGCAGCAGAGCGGCAGATCGCGGAGAGCTACGAGCTGGGCGCTACCGGGGCCGGGGGGCCCTCTCGGCCCCCGCGCGGCGCAGCCGCCGCGAGCCCGTGGTTCGGCCCGCTCGGGCGCAGGTCCATCAGATCGACGGGAGAGAGGCCGTGTCTCTGCGGCCTGAAAATAGAGAGAGTCAGATTGATCAGACTGTTTTGCCATCTCAGACGCTGTACGCTCATACTTTTTCTCTTTCCATACCTACGGAAGTGGCGTTGCCAACCAGCTGGGCCGAGATTCGAGACGCTCTGACACCTCCGCTCCACATCAGCATGAGGGCCCCCGTGGTCAACATTGCGAGTGTTGCGAGATGCCTCAGGAGGACCCTCACGGGACTCATGACGCTCAAGATGCTGCATGCGATGGGCCTGGTGATCGACCCGTTCTACCCGTGGGGCCCCGAGAAGACCCTGAGGGAGCTCGCCAACGACGAGGTGATCGTCTTGGGGATGCTCGACGTCTTGTGGTTGGGCCTCGTGAACTTCCTCGGGCTGGCCGTGGTCGTAAGGCGTTATTGGAGATCTTTGCCGGCACCGCTAACCTCACTGGAGCCCTGCATGAAAGAGGCCTTCGAGTTCTGCCCCCGGTGGACATCAAGATGGGCCCCCACTGTGACCTCACACTTCGGAGAGTCCAGCGTCTGGTGCTACATTGGCTCGAGAGTGGCGAAGTTTGGTGGGTTCACCTCGGACTCCCCTGCGCGCGCTGGGTGCCCGTGGGAGGCAAACGCGACCCCTTGCCTGTGGACCGCGTCCTGGTCTTGTTCGCTGTCCGCGTCCTACGGCTGTGCAGGCGGCGTGGGATCTTCGCGACCTTCGAGAACCCTCCCGCTAGCCGAGTCTGGCGCTGGCCCGCGCTCGAGCGGGAGCTCCAGCGCCTCGAGTATCCCAAGGTGCTGTTCGACTCGCGCAGGTTCGGGGCCCCGTTCAAGAAGCCGGGCGCGATCGCAGGCAGCTTGCCAGGCTTGGAGGCCTTGGGGCTCCGCTGCTGCTGTGCCGGTCGGCATCGCGTGGAGCTTCAGGGAAAAGTCTGGCATCCTACTCGTGGCTGGGTGTGGCGGGCGACCCTGGCGAGCGCTTACCTGCCGAGCTGGTGCTGGCTGCTGGTGTCCCTGGCGGGCCCCCATGCGCCGCGCGGCGCCTTCGGCCGGGCCGCGGCGGCGGAGCTCCAGGGCAGGGCTCACTCGCTGGCGAGCGCGGCAGGCTGCCGAGAGCCCCGTGCCATCTCCGCGCCGGTCTGCCCGCGGCGCTTTCGGCTCCCCTGGCGGCCAGGGTGGGCCTCCGCGCTCGACCCGAGGCCGCGGTAGCGCTGAGGGAGTTTCGGCGCCCTCGCCAGCTCCCTTGCCGACCTGGGCGCCGAGAACATCGGGCGCGGCGGTGGCCGCAGCTTCTCGGGGCATGGCCGCTGCTGGGCGCGCCGGGGAGCCCGACGGACGTTTGGCGCCGGTGCCGAGACCGCCGGCCAGGGCACAGGGGCAGCGGCGTGCTGCCGCCGCCGCCCGCGGCGATGCCGCGGCTGCCGGGCGCGAGGCTGGGCCCGGAGGCGACCCTCGGCTGGCCAGCTGACGTCCTGAGATGCTCGCCAGCTATCGCAATGCGGCCGAGGCATTCGAAGTGATTGCGCAAGAGCGTGGTCTCTCTTTGCCCTCACCGCCGGAGGCCGACCCGGCCTGGAATCTCTACTGCACTGCGAAGGCAGGCGTTGACCTGCCCCTCCGCCACTTAGTGCCTGTGATTCTGTCTCGACTCCGTGCCGTGGCGTGGGGGCAATGCCACCCCGCCCCCCTTTTTGCCCCTCTCTTCCTCGTACAGTACGGCAAGTTTGGAAGGCCGCGGCTGACGCCGCGGGAGTGGTAGAACTTCTGGCTTCGCCAAGGGGGCTTTCGCATGAAGCTCTGCACGATGGGGGGCCCATCTCGTGCATTCAGGCTTGTGGGCGCTGGCGCGCCCGTGAATGTGTCAGGATCCGTGATAAACACGGCTGCGCGCTTCGGTAGCGTTCATACCTTTCAACCTCGCCGCTTGTCTACGCTCGAAGGCTCTCAGAGGCGCGTGCTCGTGACATGCTTCGTCGGGTATGTGCCTGACCGCGTTGCTTGCAGGTGGCGCCAATTGTGTCCCCTTGGCCTCGGCTTGCGCCCGACGCACAAGACTGTTCTTCTGTTTCCCGCCCGCCCTCCCTAGGGCATTTTGTATGGGGATGGGACTGGACACTTGGTGTTGTGGCACTCTGGAGGTGCGATTTTGAATTGCACGCTGGCCTTGCGGCCATTTCCTCTTGTGAACCATCCGTGGGTGTCACCACGGCGCTTGCCTTCTTGCTGCCGTCTGAAAAAAAGAGCGAAAGGTGGAATCCAGAGTGCTGTCGCATGTTTCCGCGACCCCATTGGGGGAGGCCCTGCCGTTAGACAGGAATGATTTGTCTCTGACTGGTTTTCCTGTGATCGAAGGGCCTCGACAGTTTCCGAGCGCACGACCGCTCCGCCTGCGCTCTCTGTCTCGCCGAAACCGTTCTGGCTTAAAGCTCCCACCCGCCTCCCCCACACACCTGGACACTTGGTGTTGTGGCACTCTGGAGGTGCGATTTTGAATTGCACGCTGGCCTTGCGGCCATTTCCTCTTGTGAACCATCCGTGGATGTCACCACGGCGCTTGCCTTCTTGTTGCCGTCTGAAAAAAAAGAGCGAAACATGGAATCCAGAGTGCTGTCGCATGTTTCCGCGACCCCATTGGGGGAGGCCCTGCCGTTAGACAGGAATCTCTGTTGTTCTCTTTCACTCTCTCTCTCTCTCGCTTTCTCTCTCTTTCTCTCTCTCTCTCTCTCCCTTTACCACACTATCTTCCTTTGCTTGTTCTGTCTCTCTCTCTCTCTCTCTTTTACCTTTCTGTTTCCCTCTCTCTCTCTCTTTTCTCGATCCCTCTGCACCTCACCCTCCTTCGAAAAGCAGCGGACAACACAATTGAACATATTCAAACAATTTCCAGCGGCAGGACGGGATAGACGTCGCACAGTTCTTAGAGATGTCGATGCTCCCCTCCTTCCCCCTCGGGGAAGAGAGGGGAGGGGGGAGCTTGGTTACGGCAGCCGGTGCCCCGCCGCATCTCCCCATGAAACGCGGGGGAATTATGGTGATGGTGGTGCTGCTGTTGATGATGATGATGATGGTGATGATGATGATGACGATGGTGATGATGATGATGATGATGATGATGATGATGATGATGATGGTGATGCCGATGATTATGATGCCGATGATGCTGATGATGATACTAATGCAGCCAATGTTGATGCTGATGCTGATGATGATTATGATGTTGCTGATGATAAGACTGATGGTCGTGATGACGATGCTGATGATGCTGATGCTACTGATGAGTATGATGCCGATGCTGCTGATGATGATGCTGATGATGTTGATGATGATGATGGTGACGGTGATGACGATGCTGATCATGCTGATGATGTTGGTGATGCTGTTGCTGCCCATGACGGTGCTGACGATGGTGTTGATGATGCTAGTTATGTTGATGATGATGATGGTGATGACGATGTTGACGATGATGCTTATGTTGATGATGATGATGGTGATGTTGATTACGAGGATGCTGCTGATGATACTGATGTTGATGATCACGATGATGATGATGATGATGATGATGATGATGATGATGATGATGATTATGATTATGATGATGATTATGATGATGATGTTGATGACGATGATGCTGCTGATACTGCTGATGATGCTGATGATGCTGATGCTGATGCTGCTGATGCTGATGATGATGCTGATGACGATGCTGATGATGCGGATGATGATGATGATGCTGATGACGATGCTGATGATGCTGATGATGATGTTGATGCTTATGCTGCTGATGATGCTGACGACGATGGTGATGATGCTGACGATGCTGATGGTGTCGACGGTGCTGGTGTTGCTGATGATGAGGATGATGATGATTATGCTGCTGATGATGGTGATGATGAGGCTGGCGATGCTGATTAGAGTGATGATGCTGCTGATGCTGATGCTGGTGATGATGATACTGATGCCGATGATGATGCTGGCGCTGCTGATGATGGTGTTTTTTATGGTGCTGATGATGATGCTGCTGATGTTGATCATGATAATGCTGACCATGGTGATGATGCTGATGATGCTGATGCTGATGCTGGTGATGATGACGATGATGATGATGCTGATGCTGCTAATAATGCTGAGTTTGATGATAATGCTGATGTTGATGATGGTGGTGCTGGTGATGCTGATGATGATGGTGGTGATGGTGATGATGGTGATGCCAATACTGATGTTGCTGGTGATGCTGGTGGTGCTGATGGCGCTGATGCTGATGGTGATTGTGGTGGTAGCGATGATAATGATGGTGAGAAGGAGGAGGATGAGGCGGAGACTGGCGACCGAGGAGGATGAGGAGGAGGAGCATGACATAGGAGGACGGCGGAAGGTGGACGACAGGGGAACGAAGCATACAGGAAATTTGCGAACGGATAGCAACAACATAATAGAAAGGGTGACGGAACAGAGAGGAAGCTGAAAGGAAGACAGAGGAAGGAGGACGGGCGATGATGACGATGCTGATGGCGGTGGTATTGATGGGGATGAGGAATGATGGTGGTGATGTTGATGATTATTATGATGGTAGTGGTGGTGATGACCATGCTGATGAAGCTGATGATGGTGATCATGATGCTGACGCTGCTGGTGATGATGATGCGGCTGATGCTGTCTGTTGGTGACGGTGATGATGATGGTGATCGTGATGTTGATGATGATGTTGTTGATGATGCTGACGATGATGGTGGTGCTGCTGATGGTGACTGGTGGTGATGATGATGAGGAGGAGGAGGAGTAGGATGAGACTGAGGAGACCGAGGGGGAGGAGGAGGAGCATGAGATATGAGGAAGGAGGCTGGCGGAAGGAAGACGAAGGAAACACAACGGATAATTGCGAAAAGATAAATGGCAAATTATTAGAAATGAAGGAACATATAGGAAGTTGGACGGACGACAGAGGAATGAGGACGGACGATGATGACGATGTTATTGGTGGTATTGATGAGGGGGGATGATGGCGGTGATCATGCTGATGATGATGATGATGATGATGATGATGATGATGATTGTGGTGGTGGTGATGACCATGCTGATGATGCTGGTAATGATGCTGACGCTGCTGATGATGATGATGATGATGACGACTATGATGCTGACGCTGATGATGATGGTTATGAGGCTTATGTCGATACTGATGATGCTGAGGATGCTGAGGTTGCTGCTTCTTCTGATGATGGTGACGATGATGATGGTGATGGTGATGCCGATGATTCTGCTGATGCGTTTGATGCTTATGCTTTTGATGCTGACGCTGATGCTGGTGATGCTAATGATGCTGCTGCTGCTGATGATGCTGGTGGTGCTGATGCTGATGCTTATGGTGATGCTGCTGATGATGATGCTGATGGTGATGATTTGCTACTGCAGCTGATGATGATGGTGGTGATGGTGGTGGTAATGATGTAGTTGATGATGCTGCTAAAGATGCTGCTGCTGCTGATGATGGTGGTGGTGGCGACGCTGAGGGTGCGGATGCTGCTGCTGATGATGATGATGAGGAGGATGAGGATGATGATGCGGATGCTGAGGAGGAGACATGAGGAGGAGGAGGAGGAGGAAGAGCATGAGGGAGGAGGAGGGAGGAAGGAGGAAGGAATAATGAGGAAGCATACGGGAGAAAGTCGAAATGAGAACTACAAAAGGAGGAAGGTGGAAGGAAGAAAGGACGGATGTATGATGATGATGTTGTTGCTGATGATGATACTGATGTTGATGGTGGTGGTGATGATGAGGACGACGAGGAGTGATGCTAGTAATGGTGATTGTGATTATGATGATGGTGATGATGGTGATGATGATGATTACGATGACGATGGCGATGATGAGGAGGGGGATGCTGATGATGATGATGATGATGATGATGCTGATGATGATGATGATGCTGATGACGACGATGCTGATGCTGCTGATGACGATGTTGATGATACTGGTGATGGCGGTGGTGGTGGTGATGATGATGATGATGATGATGATGCTGCTGATGACGATGTTGATGCTGATGATGATGCTGCTGATGACGATGTTGATGTTGATGTTGATGTTGATGTTGATGATGATGATGATGATGATGATGATGCTGATGATGCTGATGATGA